GGATAAGCTCCGGCCTGGTGGGCCACTTGGCTCGTATGCAGACTTTACCTTTACCTCTCCCTATTAACTCCCACCCCGCCTCCGCCACCTCAAACTTGAAACAAGAGAAAATGGCCTGACCTGCTTGATTCACTCCAAGCAAGATTTTCGAAAAGGCTGTAACATGTATCAGTACAATGAGTAATATATAATGATAATAATAATGATAATGATGATGATAGTACAGAAAACAATAGTTAGTACAAAAAGTTAAAATAGTTAACTGAGCTATAAGGTATGCCAGGTAGCTGAGAACGTTTGCCTTTTGAGCGGTTTCCCTGAACTATTTCAAGTCTGACTCCATATCTGTAACAAGTTCAATTGTTTTGAGGTACCAAATCAGGTCGTGACGGACGAGATGGCAGAGATGGAAGAGATGGTGCAAAAGGGGACAGAGGGGAACCAGGCAAAATGGGACCTCAGGGGCCTGCTGGAGTAAAAGGTGAAACGGAATAAACAAGGTGATACGTTCAATACTCAGAGACGTTAGGAACTGTCTCTAAAAACTGTCATCACCAGGAATTAAAGATCGATAAGACAAAGGCCCTACCACACACTGATAGTATTATTAAACATAATTATATCCTGACGCCCAAACACGTTCATGCACCCGAACACGAACAAAAACACGGACACGAACACGGACACGAGCACGGACACGGACACGAACACGAACACCGACACGGACACGGACACGGACACGGACACGAACACGGACACGAACACGCGCTTGAAGCGAAGGCTACACCCGTCCAGCTGGATACCCAACTTGGTATTTTATTATTTTGTTTTTGAGCGAAAGCTTAGGGTAGTATTGCGCGTCTATACAGTATACGCCTCATAGTCAAAATTAGGCTTTAATAAAGGCTGTTTGTTACCAGGTAACAAGGGACAACGAGGTAAATTGGGCTCCCCCGGAGTACCTGGCGATAATGACCATCACACCAATGTGACTACAGGGGTGGTGTACATTCGCTGGGGGCGGACATCATGCCCGGGGGACGCACGGCTGTTGTATAAAGGTAAGGCAGGTTTAGATTTAGGATGTAAGAACAGTGCACTTGAACAGGCAAAAACGGAGCGTCGACTCTAACCGGCAGACAGTAGCAGAGATCTTCCTTCAAATATTGAGACCCTTAGTTTCTTGTGATTACACAACAATCTCGCGTTGATTGTGCCTTCAGTGCCTTCGAGACAAGACATGCAGGTCATTTTCTGAGACTCGTACTGATTTGTTGGTCAACAAGGCTTCAAATGCATATGTAGTAAACGAAAATAATTTTAGCCACAGAAGTGAAAGTCTCCACATCTCTTGTCAAGACGCTTTTGCGCCTTGTCTTGTGACTTGGTAGTACAAGAAAAGCGGGAGACTTAGTAGTAAGCTGTATTAGTTTATAATTCTTGTTTACCTTTTTCCATTATGGTCCTATAAAACATGATATGCTTTACAGTTATCAATATAAAATGTTTACTTTTTGGAACAATGAAGAATGTATCTACATAAATTTACTTGCACTGTGAAAACTAATTTTTAACATTTTAAAACAATTGTAATTCGATTTACAAGATTTCTGTTAACCTTAAGGAAAAGTAATGAACTGTTAGCAGTAAGAAAAGCCACCATCCCATTGAGATCCTCTTTGCATTCCCAGGTCGCATAGGCGGAAATTATTACAGTCACACTGGGGGCGGTTCGAACCATATCTGCCTTCCTGATCAGCCACTATACGCAAAGTACGATGACAGTTGGCAAGGTTCTTCTGCTGTGTATGGCGCCGAGTACGCCGTGAGTGATTTTAATCCGTTCAAGAAGCCTCTTAACAATTATGACGCCCCATGTGCAGTGTGCTACGTCGAGTCACGTGGTTCTCAGTTGATGATCCCTGCCAGGTATGACTGCCCCTCTGGGTGGACACGAGAGTACTGGGGCTACCTCATGACGAAGAGTTACTCGAGTAAGGGAAACACTGACTTTATTTGTGTTGATGAGGATGCAGAATATGTGCCGTTTACTCATGGAGCTCAAGGCGGAGTCAAGTTAACCCCGGTCCAAGGAGCCTGCTATGTGTTACCATGTGGCTGTTATGTTGAGGGTCGGCAACTGACATGCGCAGTTTGTACCAAGTAAAGAACATTTTTGAAATTAATTCATTGTGGAACTACCCCGTTAAAAATGTCAGTTTATCTTTAAGGAGGACGAGATACAATGTACTTTGAAAAATTACAAAATACACAAATTGTCAGAAACTAAGAAGATTGAAGATGCTGCTTTAATTCAGTTTGTCTTGCGTACTAATAATTGTTATTGCAGTTTCGCCATAGTATTAATCGAGTGGGAACCAAGCTGGGTGTGAACTTCAAACATCGTACGATTTTATTTTGTTTACACGGATAGGAATTTGACTCGAAAAAATGACAAGTAAATAGAAAATGAATACAACAATAATAAATGAAAGAAACTAGGCGAATAATAAAGAAAACCACAACAAACGCGACTTAAAGAACATCAACCAGAGTGATAAAGTAGAAACTGAACAGATCCTGGATACGTAGGCGATGCACAATTTGATAGAACGGATTTGCAAGCTATTTTAAAATCCGTAGCTCTTAAATTCGTAAAAGTACGCGCGCGAAAAATGTAAATTATTTGTCCCGTTGGGATATCGTGATTTGAAAAGAGAACGAAACAATAGAAAGCAACGCAAGAATGTCACAGTAATAAACATGGGCAAATTTAATCTTTGTAGAAGCTGACGCGAATTAAATTATTTTAGCACCGATAGAGAGTAATACTTCTGTCCAGCTGAAGATGGAACTGAAAAATTATTTAATAAATTATGGCTACTGAATAGATAAATCCCACCAATTTCGTTCGTTTTTGCCTGAGAAAACTAAGTATGGTTTAGCCTTTGTGGTAGCCGTTTCCTTTCCTTTTCCAGGCGGAGAGATCGAACATCGCTCCCTGCGGTCGCGCTCCTCACTCGCTACCAGCTCCCGCTCGCACCCTTTTGCTCACTGCCAGTCTCCCAATCGCCCTTTGCGCTAAGAAAAAAAATTAAGAAAAGCCTGTGGAGAAGGCAGACTTTTTAAAACTAGTGAGGTGAACCTAAAACAGGACTATTTTTAGCACCGTGGTATTCAAGAGAGTTATCACTACTCAGTCACAAACATGATTTAACAACCCCGTGACAGGTTTACATCTATTTTTCGTCTCTTAGAAAGGAAAATGATAAATGCGCTTTACCATCCTCTATCCTGCTCTCCCATCTAAACCATCTTGTCGTTAGGCATTCACTCTTGTATCGGTGAGCGCGTAAAGCTTGGAGCTTGGGAGGTCGGCAAAGTGCTAAGAGGGCTATTCTATGACGTCACTGCACTCTTCACGACCAAGTTCGGGCTCAACTGGCCCTATGAAGGCCCTATGAAAACTGCATCTAAATAATTAATTAAGAGGGACAAGAAAA